ATTTCAGACTGCAGATGGAACTAATAAAGATGCACTGCACTTCAGAATTCCCCAGCTGCTTTGCTCTTTTTATTCAAACAAAGTTTGGAGTGAAATCCAAATCCAGAGAGAATGGTCACCGAATGTGCTGAACCCAGAATTTTGGAAAGTCGGCAACCTTGGCAGTCCATTGCAGAGTCTTCTTAAGACCTTATTTTCCAAAGGCTTTCTGGTCATAATGAAATGTTAATGCAGTCACATTATAAGCAAGCTTCCTACTTTCTCTCAAATGCTGGAAATATTACCTGCTTCAAGTTTTGCTTTGATTTCATATTTTCCTTTCTGTTGTCATAGAACAGAAATATATTTTATTGAACAGGACACAGAATGTAGGGTTTTGGTTTGTTTGTTTTTAACTTATATGTTTTCAACTGATTCAGCAGCCTGGAACTATTCAGCTAGATGTCATTGAATCAGGCTAAAGCAGCTATAGTTGACATGGGGATTCTTGGATTGCTAGCACCAACTTTATTTAAACTCAACTGTTACAGTGATTGTGACAAATATAGCATCAGAATGGATAAAGCATTTTACAATTTATATCCCGTTTCTTGTTAAATCCAGCTGTGCACTTAATACCTGCAGAAATTATTTGGAAGTGAGTGTGGATTGGCTTGTGCTGTTCTCTGTCCTCTCCTTACCCAAGAATCACTTAACAAATGTTTGTCAGTACATGCTTTCTTCTCTATAAGCACTAACAGTTTTATGAAAAAGTGGTCTGGATTTCATTGTCCTCTTTAGAAAATTGTGCAATCCATTTTTCTATTTCTAATTCAAATTCAATGCAGAGACTTTATTTGCCACTTGAATAGTCTTACTGACGCAGTTAGGGGTTCTTAATACCCAGAAAACAAATGTTTACACCTATCCTGACCTAAGCAATGCAACATTCCAGAATTTTGTAAAGAAGACAATAACTTTGATTCTGATATCTATTTTTTTCCAACAAATCTTATGATTTATAATGAGAAAACTGTTTCAAGGATAGGTTTTTTGGTACCTGCTCGACTGGTTAGCCCACACTACTTTTTGATTGAGTTATATTAGTTGGATTTTCCAAAAATTCAAGTGGTTCTTGTTTCTTGTGTTGACCAGCTATAGGGCGCTTGATGTTAACCTTGAAAGCCTACCAAAATAATTCTTTGCCTGTTTAAGCATAACTAAGGTGGAGTTGTTCTAAGTCTCTTTCTCAAACTTATTCCTTTCCTTACATTAAGGTATCTTTTTTTCTTCTTCCAGTTTCCCAAAGTCTGTTAGATATTTTATCAGACCATTCTCTCCAACAGCATACTGCACAAACTCATTCTGCCAGTTTCTATGCTTAGAACTAGTCCAGAATGTTAACCGCTACAGCTCTCTCTCTCCCTCTCTCTCTTTCCCTCTTTCTCTCTAATTATGTGTGTGCCATGTGTAAATATATTTGAAATATACTGTGAAAGTTTCCTAGCTACTAAGTAAATATATCATTAGAGTCTACTAGGTAAATAATTCTTTACAGCTACCCTTTCAGTCTTCCATCTTTACCATTCTTAAATATGTAACTTTATGAAGTTGTCATATGATCACAGTACAGATATTTATAATTAGTAAGTTCATAGTTGTACTGTAGGTTTTATATTCATCCATTTTGTGAAATAACATCCATTATAATAATGGATGGTATGATTTTAAAAAATCAGATGTTTTATTGATAGTAAGACTTGCATTCTACATTTATAAACCTTAGAATAAAGTTATTAAAATCAGTGAGACTTTAGTCATGATTTCTTGTCGGTTTCAGTGAATCCACTTAAAATCTACAACAATTTCATGTATTTGGAAACACTGGCATCTTTCAGGGGAGAATCAAAAGTCAAGATGATGAACTGACTGTAAACTGAAGCTCTATACTTTTTAAATGTATTTTCCATAAGAAACATGCAGCTTAATCTTCTGCAAGTCTCAAAAAAAGATTGGATAACCATTTGTTTAAGATGGCATGAAGGCTCCTTGGACTAGAAGACCTCCAATGTTTATTCTAAGCATATGATTCTATGGAAGACAATAGTAATGGGTTTTCTTTTAAAAAAATTATATACTGTTCCAAGTTGTTAGTGTATTCAAGAACAGAGCAGTTAATTTCTTAAGTCCCTTGAGCAGATGGCTGAATAGGAGATTCATGTAGGTCTGATTTCCTGAACTACTGTAACACATGACATAATTGACCATATACCCATATAATACTTTTGTAATTTAATTAAATTAGAACTGATTTGGAAATATGAACGATAACATGTACATAACTCCTTTTCTATATCTCTTGTATTGTGGCAAACCTAAGAAAATTAATGCATCTGAATTGTAAAAATATGATTTAGATTTTTCTGTCAAAGAAAAACATAAACTATACAGTTGATAGGAAAGCAGGTAAAAGGAATAATTGTTAAAGTTATTGGTCCATCTCTGACAAAGACGTATATCAAACAGGAAAATAATTTAACAATTATAAACATATAAATAACCTTTTGTAAATGTACATTATGAAACAAGAATGTCAATCAAGCAGAAGATGATTATTACTATGTATTGTATATTTTATCCCCAGAAGTCCGAGAAGGTTAATTGGCCCAAATAGAAGGCATGGAATAAGTTGTTCATTTTTAAAGTTATCTCATTACACAGAAGCATACTGTTTTATCATGTTTTTGGCGTGCCCCATTGCTTCCCAGAAGAGAAGCCCAGCTAACAATTTAGCTTATTAGGATTAGGGTGATACTTCCAGGATTCCAGCTTGGCCTGATAACCAAACAGATGGAATAGGAGGATTTTAAATGACTAGAAGCTTTGCAAGATGTATGAAAATGTGGAATATTCTCTAGTTGTGCTTAATCATGAAATGTATTACACTGGGTTGATCTCCCAGAGAACCCATTTAGCCTAATGGCATATCAAATGGCAGTACAACTGAATAATCTGCACAGAAATGGCAGTATTTTACTTTTGGTTAAGTCTCTGGGTTAAGTGATGTGTAGCCAGTTTAATGAGAAATAACATCTAGTATTTTAAATACTACCATGTTAAATTTGTTACATCAATTTATAAAGCTCAAGACACTTACGCATATTTTTTTTACTTCTATGTGTTGACTCTTTTTACTTAAATTCCTCAGAAACATAGTAGACAGGACAGAATTGATAACTATCTAGTTTAATTAAATCCACCTGAACTCCTGCTATTATGTTGCAATAGAGTAATGAATTACCACTGACTTGTACTGCCTGTTTGATTTGTTTTAGTAATCATTCATATATCAGTTCACATTTCAATGTGCTTTTCATAGACCTTGACAGTAGAAAATAAGTCACTATTGGCCTATCTAAAGAATCACCAATCTCTGTTGTATACATTCAAACCAATATATGACAATATATCAAAGTCTGGAAATACAGAACTAAAGAATTATAAACCAAAATTTGCTTCCGAATACAGAGCTCCAGAATACTCATTGCTATAAATATCTGAGTATCTTGCAAGCTATCTGAGCATGTTAACTCTTCCAGTGTAAGGAAAGAATTATTCAGAGCTAGACATAATGTAATAGCTTCTGCCTTTCTCTTTGGCAGTTATAGTATAATAAATAACAATAGCAATAGAATCGAGAGTTATACCACTTTACAGTACTCCCTGAGTGATTTTCAGAGTCCGCACATTGCCCCCAACAATCTGGGTCCTCATTTTACTGACTTTGGAAGGATCGAAGGCTAAGTTAATCTTGAGCCGGTCAGACGCAAACTCCTAGTAGTGAGTAGAATAGAATTGGCAATACTGCTTTCTAACCACTGCACCACCACAGCTAAAATGCTTATAAATGAAAGACTGTCCTTGCAGTTTTAAAAAATAAACAGTTATCAATTTTATCTTAAATAAATGAAGCATACTTATTTATCCATTCCACCATGTATTACAAAGAAGCAATAAAAAACTAGTGTCTGGCATAGAAGTTTGGTAATGAGAAACAGATAAATGCCATCAATATTCAAAAAATCAATATTCAGATGGAGTATCAAAAGTCCACTTTCTGTGAGTGCAGTTTTAGTTACTTCTGAACTTTAAAAATTATAACTTTGACTATAAGATTATGGTATCATCTTTTAATTCAGTAGTAAAACCTATGTTTCCTGGTGGCCTTAAATTTTATACCAATGTAGAACTTAATACTGTGGTTGTGGGTTATTTTCCAACTTACTACATTTGCTCGTGTGTATTTTATTATTATTTAACTTTTGGGGAAAACATTTTTTTCTTATAAAAGGAAATAAATAAATATTATATAAATAAAGTTCTATATGATCTTCATTTATTTTTTTACTATATGTTGCTTTTAATTCAATGATAAGATTATAATAAGGCTATAAAATAAAACAAATTATACAGATGATAGAATAAGAAAGAAATCTTAATTACCAAAGTTCTTGATAAAACAATACAACTTTTTTCTAAACATGTAAAGGCCTATAATGAGAGAATTTAATTGTATTAAGTATGGATTGACTCTCATAAAAGGCAAATAAATAAATAAAATGTAAAATTATAGTTAGACTATATTACTAATGAGTTTTTTTATTAGTAATTTATTCTACTAATTCTGGAAATGAGATAGGTTAATTAGTAACTTCATGTCTTAACAAATAAAACTTAAGCCCTTCCCCCATTTCTGTTGCATTCTTTAGTGTCTGAACATTACCAATCATTGCAGTTGTATTTATCTAAAAACTATGCTAGATATGACATTCATCTTCTGTGCAAGATTTATTTACTTAAATTGTATAAAAATTAATAATTGAGGAATTGGTCATCTTAAAAGTTTAGGAAGTGGTCATTGTGGAAATCTTGAATATATTCAGATTTGGTTTTTCTCATTCTCTCTGTCATGATAAGTTTGTTCACATGTAATTTTGTGTTTCTTTTGCCTCATCTTTTAGGAAATTTGAGAGCTTAACATCTCTGCTGCTTCCTGCTTTTGCTGCGACAATTCCTTCTTGTATTTTCAAACAGAGCTCAGCCTTGCATCCCATCCTATCCTGTTGATTTCACTTTGGTTACATGGTAAGCACTATATTTGCTGTGTATGTAGGCTGAATAGTAATCTTCTTTTTCTTTTTCATCATCTTTATAATTCTCATAACAGAAATATTGAGCATTGAAATCAATATTACATGCCGATTCAGAAACAGTCAGTCTATCCTAATGATAAGGGAAAGGTGAACATACTGAATTAGCTCTCAGAGTTCAGCTTTTACATAACTTTGTATATAAATAAAATGTGAATTAAAATATGTAACAAAATTAAATCCATCAAATCTAATAAAAGAAGTTAAGAGGAGCAAAGAAATCTTGGACCATAAATCCCATTAACCAGGCCAAAGAGAAAATGAGTTAAGAGGAAGCTGTGCTGTTTCTTTTTGCATTGTCTGTTGGAATAATCTTCTTCACCCATTAAGTGGAGTGTTTAAAAATCTTAGTATTTCTGAAACAAAAAGAATACACAGCCACTGAGCTAGCGGGTTTTTATACCTTCTTTTTCTGAGTATTGTCCCTTACTACAATACAGAGCCATTTCTTTGTTCTCAGAAGCAAGCAGTTAAATTGTATGTAAATGTATGCAAATTAGATGCTGTCTAATAAAGAGAGGCATTAAATGGAAAAATATTTAGTTTGGCAAAAGAAGAGAAAAGAGAGGAAAAGAAAGCAGGTGTATTTTGGAAGAAATAAATGTATGAATTGCTAAAAGCCCTCCAACTTTAGATGAAGATTTCTAAAAAAGACTATTTAAAATTCTCGAAAGAGGTTTATTCTTTTGTTCTTACATTCTCTGCCAACATTGTATATGTATATGAAATTACATACATATATTGGTTATATAAATTTGACACCTTTGCCATGCTGCATTCAATATTTTTTATATGTCTGTCTTTCAGCTATTATATCTTTTCATAAACTTATAAACATGATGGCCTAAATAAATAGGACAGAATTTTTGTATAGATCAGTAAATTTTGTTAACATAAATTATATAATAATTACATATACATACATACATACATACATATATATATATATATATATATATATATATATATATATATATATACATACATACATACATACATACATACATACATACATAATAACAGAATGATTATAGATTATGGTTCAGACAACATAAAGTTCTCTCTTTTTCTATTTCTCTCTCTCTCTCTTTTCCTACGTTCCACCCCCTCTCTCTTTCTCTCTCTTTTATATATTTATCAGCTGCCCTATTTCACAAAACAAACAACTCTGGGCAACATACAACAAATTAAAATAGTGAAGACATACTAATATACAAAGATCTCTTTCTCTCTCTTTCATACCACAATAATATTGCACATAAAGAAAAACATAAAATGTTATATGCTATATAGTTAAAACAATCTGCCCCATGTTAAAAAATAGTGACATGAAGTAGAAAGCTTTCTGGAGCAATTTTGTCTTGATGACGCTATGTAAAAATTTGAATTTTCATATTTAAGCTATTTCACAAGAATGGAAAACATATCAACTCTGTACAGACAGTGGTACTGAAGTTTCAGTAAAAGGAGGAATCATCTGTTTTTGCAGTCCAAGCCAAAATTATACTGATTATTATTATTTTATTAAATTTATTTATCTGTCTGCCAAAAAATCTGGTATCCTTATTCCAATTAGGGTCAACATATCTAATTTCAATTTTTGGAAAAGCTTCAGTATGGGCCCTAAAAATTTTCATTTCCTAAATTTCTTACCAATATTCTGTTTTCTTTATTGTGACAGAAGAGGGAAATACTGAAATATATGATTAGAAAATAGTTACATTTACATTTGAAATATGCATTTAGCAATAGCAATAACACTTAGACTTATATACCACTCCATTGTGCTTTTCATTACCCTATGAGCAGTTTATAATGTCATCAGATGGCCGCTGGGCCCTCATTTTACCAACCTCTGAAAGATGGAAGGCTGAGTCAACCTTGACCCCTGTCAGAATCAGGCTATGGGCAAAGCTAGCCCATACTGCTTTTTAACCACTGTACCACCAGGGTTCTCATTTATTATTTATAGGCATGATCTGGCAGACAAATAATTAATTTGGCTTTAGGTTCAAGGAAAACTAAGAATTGTAACTAGGGTTTGTAGGAATATGAGTTTTCTTTCACTGTTAGGCAAAGATACAATGTTACTTATTTTATGATATGTAGTAACATAACCATTGTTGAATAATTGCAAAAGGGAAAAGGAAACCTGAGCGCTCTTATTAGTTCCAACCTTTTTAAGGAATTATTGCAGAATATGATAGAATACATAAAGTATAATATCTGCATTTTCAAAAATTCAGGCAGTACCAGTTTTGTGCTTGAAACTTTGAGGAGCTTAAAAATCAGTAATAAACCTTCTTCGGTTCCAAATCCATAATTTGAATATAGCAATTTTCTCACACTTTATTTTTAGTTTTCATACTCATATCTTACTGCTGATAATTTGACTAACTATTATGATCTGGAAATATCTTCAAAATACAGTTATTCTTCTTGATCTTGTTTTAGTTTGTCATTGCATCCCTCCGAAGGATTAATTTCCTGTTTGTGTCTTCAGCACTCTTCTCATGTTTATTTTTCAACACTGCTCCAACCAAAAGACATAGCCATCGATCACAATCTCCAGCTCTATTTATGAAAGTTAAATACTCTTCTTTTGTAATTAGAGTATCTTCATATATAGAGATCTCATTGTCCTGCAATCAAACTTCTACTGAATATTTCAGTCATGTGTGTACACTTTCTTTTCTAGTGGTAGTTAGGTATTACTTCTTGATTTGATTTTGGAGATCCTTCCCCTAAGCAAGTTGACTTTTTCTTCCTCAAATCTGCATAGCATATTTACTATCACCCTAATGCAGATTATTCTTAGCTTTACTGCTCTTTTATTAGCAACGGTAAACTTATTTGGAACTTCCAATGATGTGGGTGTTACTTTCACATAAATTGAAGATACTCAGCCCTCTTTCCCACACTAAGATGTTAATTCTTGACAAGGATGTTTAATATATATATGTGTGTATTAAAATAATGTTTTAAAAATATTCATACATGCAAATATAGCCAGGAAAGGGCTTAATCCCACTTATTAAAAAGTTTGGAAAAATTTCTCCCAGGACTATTTAATGTTTAATCATTTCTTTGACTATAATGCTTGCCAACCACACCCAAATTTAACATTTTTACACTATAGTCAATGGCTATATATATTAAAAGTAAATTGAAGGAGATTTTCTCCAGTAATTGCTTTAATTCTTTAAGCTTTAGGCTTAGAACTTAATCACTGGAAAGTTTCAAGAAGAGACTGGACTGCCATCTGTCAGAAATGGTGTAGGGTCTCCTGCTTGGCCGGGGGGGGGGGGATTGGACTAGATTTACCTTCCAACTCTGTTAATCTGTCTATATTGCATTCTCCATTGAGTCAACGGGAGAATCCAGGTTGGGTAGTCTCTAGCCTCGTTGCTCTACAGACCGAGTTGAATTCTGAAGACACGGCCCCCTGGTAACGGTTCTTCACTTGGTTTCATCTCATTCAGACATCCCTAAAAGGGCTCTGAAGTATTTGACTTTTAGAAGAATAAGAATACTCCCTAGTTTCTCTCAGACTGTTCTTGCTGGTTGCAGATAATATTGTATCACCACGCCAAAATATATGTGTATTTCTTTTGTACTCTCTTACTTTCCCATACAGCCACACATCCCAAATTAAAGTAGATTTATAAATGTAAATTTACATAATATACATAAATGGAATAGCAACAATGAATTTTTAAATAAAATTCATTTCTTACTGCCCTATTAGTCTCTAATGTTTTCTATTTTTCCAAAAATGCTCTAACAGAATGGTTTGCTTTGTAAACCAAAGATTACTTCTTCAAAATTTGTCAGAATTCTTTTAATTTACTATTTTTAAAACTTTTGTACATTGTTTTCTGTGACAAAAAAACCAACAATGAAATATTTGTGGTTAGCCGGCAGCAGGTATGGACAGCTGAGGAGAGTGAGAACTCAGATGAGGGGCCAGGACCATTAGGGAGTGGACTGCTGCCTTCAGAGATTGTGGGGCCTGGCAGCAGTGATGAGGAGGTTCCTGAAGAGCCTGTGCCAAGTGTGCGTGCGTGCAGGATTGCTCGGAGAAAAGAGCAGTTACAACAGCATGGGCGACTCGGGACTAAGGCTACAAGATAATGGCCCCTCCTTCAAGAAGATAAAAGCAAGCTGTGAACGAACGTACTTTGCAGAAGGCAAAGACGTTTTGAACTCAGCCTCGTGGACATTACAGTTGGTATTTGAAGATTCTTGTATTGTAAACTATTTTTTATCTGTTGTGTTTTGGCAGACTTGCAAAAACTTAGCAAGGTTCTTTCTTGTCGGAGCTAATTAGTTGGAAGCAGCCTTTTATCTGTGAAGAAACAGAATTCTTAGCTGAAACATAAAAAGGTTGTACTGCTGCCTTTGTCTTGTGTTTGCTCTCTTGGAACCAGGTTTGGGTCAGAACAGAAATAGTATACCAGGCAAAACTAAGCGGCTTAGGAAATAAATACAATAAAAATTGCAAATTTCAAACCCATCACTTTTTATTATCAGGGTAGGTGTTGAAAGTCTTTCATTTTTATAGCATTCATGGTAGAAGTACAGTATCTCTAAATGATGTTAGAGACCATGGCAACCATCGACTCAGTTGAAAGTGCATTCCTGCTTTGTGAAATAGTTGGAGAACTGAACTAGTCATCTACTAAGGTTCGTGAGGTGAGATAAGAGGAGGAATAAATACTTTAAAAGCACAACAGGAATGTACACAGAGATTGCATATCCAATGAAAGGAGTGTGAGTACAGAGCAACACCATTTCCTCCAAAAATAGTTTTTAACTTTTATTGGCAACAGGACAACTAGGGAGCCTGAATAAGCCCTCAGGTTAGAAAATGGGATGATCTGTAAAAACATACAGACCTTTATATAAGGAAATTCAAACCACAAATTTCACATG